AAGAAATGAGGGTAAGTATTATCTGTAACAGAGAAACTTGTGCATGTTAATAATACTGTTAGGGATCTAAGAAATGAGGGTAAGTATTATCTGTAACAAAGAAACTTGTGAATGTTAATAATACTGTTAGGGATCTAAGAAATGAGGGTAAGTATTATCTGTAGCAAAGAAACTTGTGAATGTTAATAATACTGTTAGGGACCAAAGAAATGAGGGTAAGTATTATCTGTAGTTCTGTTAACCCATATAGGTTTTATAAAAGATAGAAATTTCTATGTTAATCTGGAAAGATCAATACTTTTTTCTCTAAAATAAAAAATTGGTGGTGATTTCTATATACTTAATCAACCATCTAATAACCATATTCATAGGTTTTGAAAATTAGAACGAAGTCCAGAGGTGTGTTAAATTGTTACACGATGCATCAGTTTGATTTTCATTTCACATTATTACCAATCTATTAAACTCTCAATTACTAAAGACTGCCGTTCAGCTCGTCACGTAACAACTTGTCCTCGGCTGGAGTAACTTCAGTATCATGTCGCTAGCTGCTACACTTACATCACGTAACAACTTGTCCTCGGCTGGAGTAACTTCAGTATCATGCCGCTAGCTGCTACACTTACATCACGTAACAACTTGTCCTCGGCTGGAGTAACTTCAGTATCATGTCGCTAGCTGCTACACTTAATGTCGAGTGAAAATAAATGGTAAATGCTGTCACAAGTAAAATTGTATTGATGCAGTTATAAAGAAGAGGATTGAATCAGTAGTACAATGAAACCAAGAATTCAACAATTATTGTTCTATTGAATTTGTAGTGTTTGATTTGTGTATATATAACTTGATTGTGATAACAAGATTGGAATTACATATTTTACACATTTTTTCAAATAGGATAAGAAGTGGCTTATAGACTGACTTTCCCTGAGTAGCTGTAAGACAGGCTGAACCACCTTAATCCATAGTGACGTTTATTTTTAAAGCTTGCCTCTTGTGTGGACCACAAACCAGATTCTGTTACCCGTATTTCTTCTTGTTCTGTAGTTTTAGTCTTGTACAGAACAGTGTTCCCAGACTTCAAGAATTTTCTGATCTTTTAAAACTTGTATAAATCTGAGACAAGTTTGTAGTCTTCTCTCCAGGAAAATAATTTGGTTTATTTACAAGGTTTCAGTAAAACGCCCTCCAGAAAGGTTCAGCATCTGGTAGATTTCAAATGACATCATAGTGATGCCACTGATATAACCTGTTTTTTGTAATGATTAAAAAATTTCGTACAAGAAAAGCAAGTCTATGTAACTAATTAAAAGAAAATCGTAATGAAATTTTTTATTGAGAATATTTTTTGTTTGAATTTTAATTCGTATCTGTACGTGGTGGTATGTAAAGGATAAAATTGATACTAAGTTTTGTGTATCCAGTCATTTAAGGTTGTGCACAAAATATAACAAAGAAAGCTCAGACATTGATTTGAATATATCTAATTATTTAACTGTCTGTAGTTAAGTAGAATCAAATGGTACAAGTGTTAAGTTATCTTTGTTCTTATTTAACTGTTTGTAATTTTTTCACGTCGGGTAAGATATGTTTATATAACTAGTTATTTTAATTCTTTGAAATTGTAAACTGAATGTAGGCAGTGAAAGATGTATTCCTAATTCAAATAGTTTGAAAATGTAGTGTAGATTTAAATAGATATTTTTAGAAAATTTATAACATTTTTTAAAGACCATGATACACTGAGTGTGTATGTGTAAAATTTTTGAAATGTAGTAAAGAAATACACGAACTTTACCTATAAGATACCCGAGTAACATTACATAGTAATACCGTGTGGTATGTATAGAGATCGTGACAAGTTTTTATCATCTTATTTAGTTTAATAGTCTATATCCTGTACAAAATCTCGGTCACCGTTTACGTACTTGTTGTAAGTATCTTCTTCAAAGTAACTTGCTACCAAATCAAAACCTTTTGTTAACGTTTAGTTTTCAAATATGGTTTAGGAACTGAATTATGAAATGCTGTATTTTACCTTGTTGTTTATACGAAGAAATGTTTAATGTATTTCAGAACTATTAAAAAATTTAAGTGCTCTAATGAAAATTAGTAATAGATCTCTTGTAGATGTATTTATTCACAGCCTTGTGTCATCATGTGTGTGTATATAAAGGGGGCAGTTAAAAGTTTGTGGTGGAATTTCTGCCAGTTTGTTTCAAGTTGATCTGTAACACGTAGACTAAACTTTTAACAATATGAAGTTCTCTGTAAACTCGATGGATACTAAATACGTTTAACTTGTCCCTCGTATGTTTTCATTCTTTTAATTAAAACTTTCAGTAACAATTATGTGCGAACGTACGTTACAGATCACCATACTTCTGATTTATCTAGTCCTGCGAGTCTCAAGGTTGAATACATATCATTCTGTAACAGTTTATAATTCCTAGTGTTTATCAATGAGAAGTCAACTTCTGTGAACGAATTGCTGGGGTAGTGTTTATTTCATTATTGTATTGCATGGCATACAAGATAAATTTTTGGAAAATAACAAAGAAATGGTGTAGTATATAATAAACTAAATAATATATCAATGTGTCCTATTGTTTTCTGTGTCACCTATCTGTTTAACATAAGTCAAATAAGCTACAAGGTTTCCATACTTTTCTATATATTAGTTCCCCCCCCCCCCTTCCACTTTTTATAATAGAAATTATTAAAATTATCTACAGAACCAACAGATTGTATAAGCTCTTAATTCTTCCTGTAATTGTTGGTTTCTCTTGCACCCTGCCTGCTTGTGCTTTTTTATTATTAAAGATTGTCTCATTAGCCACTGTTTTGGAAAGTTTGTCTCACAGTTGATTTGTTAATGTTTTGCCCTTTTCTTCTTCTTGTAATCAGAATTTTAAGAGTTATTGACAAATCACTGTGTTTCAAACATAGTTTATATTATGTTTTTTCCCATCCGTGTGTTATATAATGTTCAATAGATTACCTTAAAATAATTTTGAGTATATAAATTAGCCAGCCATATTAGAACCACAGTTTAGTTGATTTGTAGACAGTAAGATTCCACCTAAAATGATCAATTTTGGGAATGTTATGTAACAGCCTTTTCTGCCACAAAATATTCATACACTCAGATCCTAGATTAGAATATATAGACAGAAGTCATGAACAAAAAAGATGTTGCTACCATTATATATCTGTTCAACCATCACATGCTTCATGCTATTCCACACACTTCTGTGGGTTCAGGCTGTTGAACTGGAAAACCATCCTCATACACTAGATGGCTTAGGGGCAGGAAGGAGGGGTTTACATTGGACATGACAGCCACAGTCAGAGAATGAGTGGACTAGCAACAACACAATCATTTTAATATAACGTACTCGTAGTTTGTTAACACTCTAGGAAAAGTAGCTTCCAAAAACTAGAGACCTGATAGTTTTACTTTTAAAGTGGGCTTTATTTTCACACGATGCAACATCAGTAAGTAGTGAAATGTTTGGCCACCAGTACAAAAAATCCCATGATGCTTTTCTTCAGTTATGATTAATTGGTAAAGAAGTTGACAAAAGATAAGGGTAACAGCAGTAATTAAAGTGACAATAATTATGTTGATTGTGCTTCTGCAAAATGGTCCAATTTTGTTGATGCAACAATTTAAAATCTTTACATAAATTGAACTAGTACTTTGTAAAACCCATTTAAACACAAAACTTGATTAATTATTTATAAGCAAGTAGCAGGAATATCATTATGGGACAATTTTATTCTTTTTATAAATATATATACACACACACATGGAACATGTATTGAGGGCAATAAATATTCCATGGCATCACATAATTTAGATTTGTTATAATCAACAGGATGTTACATTCCATTTCTACAAGAAATCAATTTATGTTTGTTATAATCAACAGGATGTCACATTCCCTTCCTAGAATAAGAATTAATTTAAAGCATCATCAAAAAGTTACAAGTGCAAGCCCTTTGTTTGCAATTCTTCTGATGTTCCCATATTTTGAAATATAAAAATAATTTTGGTGCATTTATTCACATTGTTTTGCATCATTAAGCCCCAAACAACCAACGTTAAGGAGTTACTTCCTATAGAGAAACCACATTTCAAAATATGTCTGTCCATTTTTTGTGATTGTAAAATATTTAAACCCCAAATAAAATTTTCGCTATGGTGTAAGTTTAGTTTTAATAACAATGAAATTAATTAGTAGTTTTTAACAACAAACCTTACAACTATTTAACCACACTTTCTATCATGTTTTGTTTAAAGAAATAAGAAAACTTTCCAACAGCAAGACACTAATTTCTTTATATGCACACACACATCTGTTATGTTAGTTAAGATTCTAACAAGACCAGTTTTTTTCTCAAGTCTGTGTACACTACAAAAATAGACATTCAGTGTCATGACATTAATATTCCAACAAGACAATTTACAGGTATTTTTGAGCTTCAATATTTTACGACAGTTTCGTTTTGAGTTTACTTATTTATTATTATTTTATTACAAGCTAGAGCTTTTACGGTAATGAAGATTATTTTCTAAGAACAAGTACGATGTTTCGATCATTCTCAAGTAATGAAACCATTAAAACCTGTGTATTTGAAACATTGTATCTGTTCTAAAAACAAACATGGAACTTATCTAGAAACCCAATAGTTTTTTTTCATCAAAGTACAAACAACTTTGAGAAATAAATATTAATAACATGAAATACCTTTTTCAGAACTACAACTGAATTTAATATTCTTAAAGTTACAAAAAGATATTAATTCTGTTAATAATCGGGGATAACTTATCACAGCCTATAACTAAGTACTATACAGTAACATGATACATGCCAAATGTGCTTATAAAAATATTCTTTCTCCTTTAAAGTCAAAGAAATCATGAATACAAAACAAAATTATAACTGCTTGTTCTTGAAGATGTCCCACTTAAAACGTGCACCTTTTTAAGTAAAACATCTTCAGTTTTATTTACACTTCTTATATACAACATCTCCAGAGGGTTGTGTACGATTACTAAGATGTTTTTATCAAGCATCCTGAGCCTGGTGTTCCTTCTATGTTCATGATACACTGGTGAATCATAGCATAAAACTGTAGGAGCTGATGATACCCATTTGTGAGACATTCCCTGGGGTGGGTAAAATAAAGTACACAAAGTATTGTGTTAATAAAATACTTTTAATGAAACTGCTTAGTGACAAAAAATAGTTTTTTTTTTATTGTTACCCACATACATCTAAGAAAATCAGTTGGGAAGTTTTTATATTTCTCCCAAGATCAAAATGATGACATGAGTATGTAATTTATTATATGTTCTGTACGAAGGTTCAAATGATTTATATTCATGACTCTAGGCTTAGTTTATTAACAGGGTTTTATGTATTAGAACATCCACATCGTTATTTGACAACAGTCTGGTGAAACCTAAACCGTACCCTTAAAGCCCCCCTGAGAAATGACACAAGGAGATGATGATCTGTCCTCCTTCCTGTGTCACCTCCAGGAGCTCTACAGTCTCTTAACTAGTTTCAAAATAACAGATTGTAATTAATGATACATCTTAGATGCAATAAAAATCGGTTTTACATCGTATTAAAAAAGATTTGAAAACATAAAAGTTACATACCTATTACTGGAATTCCTACAATACAGTTCAAGCATTTCTAAAGTGGGGGAGTTGGGAGGAGGAGAATCTAACTGAGAAGAAGAAGAAGGAAAAGACTCAAACCTTAATCATTTCAACAATTTAATGAACATTTATAACTAAAAAAAAAAAAAATAC